ACAAGTCAAAAAAATGAAGGACTTTTTTTTTAACACAGCCTTTAATAATTTAAAATGTAACCTTTTGGTTTACATGATGCCTGCAAGCGGTGACATAGATGTTGACAACATTAATATCACTATTTCTGTCACTAAAATCTATAGCAAATACATTAGCAGCCACAAACGGAGGTAGTTTTTCAGAGAGCTTGCTAATTGCATTGGTGCTGTGAACTTAGTTTTACAGTGTTAACACATAAAAGCACAGAGCTCGGGACCAAACTCAAATCTAGGAAGATCTGTAAACAGTGGACAGGCACTGTTCATCCGTGTGTTTATATTTAAATGACATATTATGTTCTCATTATTGATACAGTGTGGAAGGATGTTTTCCAAATGGTGATCAAAGGGAAAAAGGACACATATTGTTGTGTGAAAGACAACAATTTACCAAACCCCCTAAATTACAGATAGAATCAAATCCAGTAGAAGAAATCTTAGATGCAGAATCTAGGATGAATTGGATTCTTGTTCAGTTTTAATTTGATTGTTTCTAGTTCCATTCTACCCATGCCATACAGAGCAAAGAAATCTGGGTTTGGAGCACGAGTCCCTGATAGGAGCACAGAGAACGTGATCAGAGAAAGACCAGTTAGAGAGAACTGAAACCAGGTTTGTGACACCAGTATGCTTACTTACCCATAGAGCTTATACTTTTAACCACCACACATTATTGGCTTTCTGTTAAAAGACAGACTCTTCCTAATCTGCTAATGGTGAAAATGTGACTTTTTAAAAAAGAATTCTGAGCAATTATTAATATAATAATAATAATAACAATTAAGGTACCCCGGCGTGGGAACGCATGCTTGTAATCCCAGTACTCTGAGAAGCTGAAGCAGGAGGGTGGCAATGTTGCGTCAAGCCTGGGCAACTTAGCAACCTCCCAAGAGCCTGTCTCAAGATGAAGCAAATGTCAAAAGTAGTTGAGGGTGTTGCTGAGTGTGGAGCCCTAGGTTCAACCCTTATATGGAAAACAGAAATAACAATAAAGCAATCACTCTGTTTCTACCATGGGCAGTAAATGTGGTTCATTATCATATGTCTGCTTTGTAGTTTGGCTACATTTTTAAATAGAATTAAAAGCTAAAAGTCACTATTCCATTGCTGAAAATCTTGAATGCTAAAAATCAGAAAGAACATCTTGCTTTTCAGCTTCTTGCTGTCTCGCATCACTGGGGGAAGAGAAATCAGGAGGAAGATGATGCCTATGATGAAAACCCTTCAAAGTCAGGAGCTGGTTGAGGACCAAGCCCTCTTCCTGACCTGGTTCATTCTGCCATCTGTTGTGGCACATGCCCCACGGAGGTACACTTCTTAAAAGTCAGTATTTCTCACCCACCTTCTGAAACAATAAAGGGAGTATTCATTAGATTCCAACTCTAGTTATTATCCAAGTTGCTAAACAATAAAGACATTTTTGTCTAAAGAAGCATGATAAACTATTGAGCAACGGGCATAAATTCAATATTCCTTTAAGAATGGGACAGGACAAATGCACTTTTATTTAACTGTACCACGATGCCGTTAAAAGAAGAAACTTTCCAAATAAAACAAGCTATTGGCAGTAACGAATGGGGTTTCCCCATCAACTTCAACATCAAATACCATATCAGGAAGCCCCAACCGCCTGTGTCAGAAGCACAATGAAATTCATAAATGGGAAGGCATCAGAATTTGCCTCCTTCAATTAACCTCTGTTTCCTTGTATGTGCTGTTCACTATAATTGCCCAAGAGACAAGCCACGGTCTCAAAGATATGTATTTGACTTTGTGATTAACTTAGTTCAGGTGGAACTTAAAAGTAAAAGTATATTGCATAACCTGTAAGAAATCAGTCATGGTCCTTAAGTTATCTAAAGCATGCGAATTATAAATCTTCACATTTTATGACTTGCCCTAAAATGATAACTAAAAAGTTAAGAAAAAGCAAAGAACTCGAGAATAATCAGATATTCTGCAATTGAGATTTAAAATATAATAATCTATGATGGCAATGTTCTTAGCAATAAGTTTTCACTCACTGTACTTAAAGCAAATAAATCAGACTTTGCTAAGTACAATATTTTATTCATTTCATGTCCATATTGAAACAAAAATCCAGTGTATATGTGATGGATATTATTTAGAAAACATTGTTTACTTTTATTGTGGTTTAAATGCCTTATTAAAAATAGACACAAATACATAAGAAATCATCAAAAATAATAATGCATAATTTCTTCAATACAGTAATAGTGTATTTTGATAAAACTATTCTTCATGAATATTTATTAGAGTACTTATTTCTATTACACTTGAATAGTTGACTTCCAATCTATGTAAGTTCCTTACAACTATGCACTGGGTTTTCTTTTATAACAACCTGTACCATAAAGATTATAAATTGAGACGGTGAGAAAATAGTCAGAAAGATCATAATAGAGACTTTGGAGTAACGTAATGGGTTAAAATCTCTCACGGACTGTCACAGGTGTTACATTCTGAATGAACAGTTTCACCTCTTTGAATCTTTACTTCCTTTTCCCCATAGAGAGCAATTTTTAAAAAGCACATTTGCTATTCTTTAGTAAATGTAAGCGTCACTGGCCTGGTATTAAACATTGGTATTATTGTAGAATTTCCCCATTTTTATTTTTTTTTACTTTTTATTATTAGCATATATTTATGGTGCACAACAATTACATTCACCCTGGGGAATGGATGTATACTGCACCTGGATCATGTTTTGATTTCTGCATGTTTATTAGTACAGTTTGCAGTATGTACTGATTATATTCATCACGGAGAGCTGGTGCATGCGGGTTAGAGAAGGAAATGCTTAAGCACGTGTGACAAACCTTCCAGTGCTGCACCAGCCTGGGGTTACTATCTTTGCTTCTTTCTATTTATTTCTATAGGGAGAGATCAGGGAGAATCTGCAGACTGAGGTGATTCACAGGGGCCCACCCACTTGTTACACCCACTGTTAATGGAGAACGCTCTCGGCTCCCCTTCCTAGCTTTTTACCACAGTCTTCACTTTTTTTTTTTTTATTTAAGAGGAAAAAGAGAAAAACACAAAACAAAACAAAGCAGTGTAAGGTTACACATAATACAGAACTACAAAAAAAAAACATAACAGTAAGAAATCACCTGTTAATAGATTACATATTATCATCTTGGAAATAGTTGCTCAAATCACAGTATCAAAGAATACAAAGTAGACATTCAAACAGAGAGACTGCAAACAGCTGTGTTCAATGATCCAAAAACATTAATATAGTCAGCTATTTAACACCCCTAAACACACTTGCTGTTATATCCGTTAGAGCTCTTTTTTTTTTCCTTCCTTTCTTTTTTACAACAAATTTTACACATTTTGGATTTTATTACTCCTTAGTTCTTATTACTTTTTGGGGGGGGGAGAGAATAAAGTCAAATATGGCAAAACAAAGCTGTCAGTCAAAACCAAGGATAGACATAGCACATGATGTAGAACAGAGTACAAGGTTATTAACAATGGTTATCAACGTTGTCTCTTGTTTCCTTAAAAAGATTTGTCTATCTCATTAGATATTATAAAGTTGGACAAAACAGTAGAGAACAAGACCAATAAAATTTAGGCATTGTAAACATTACAGGACTTCCAAAGGAGACAATAGTCAAACCAGAATGGGCATCTTAGTGAATCTTATTGCCTTCAAAGTAGTTGCCTATACCCTCAGACTTGATACTATCGCACAGAATGGAACAGAGTCTAATCAGTCAAAACAAGATCGTGGGAGTATTACAGAACTTCAAAACAAGTTCAGTCTTCACTTCTTTACTGTTTTCCCCAGGAGTGTGGGGACACTGTTACCCATTCTCTACTGCCTTACTCTATTTCTCAAAAAACCTTCTGTTCCCCTTGCAGCTCAGTTACATGGTGACAGGAAAGTGCCAGTTTATTGCCATTAGGGTAAACAAATGGTTGTCTGTCCTTAACCTTTCATGGCAAATTTGCTCGGAAATCTAAACAAATCTCTGATGATAGCATTCCAGCCAACGTAGAGGAGTTATTTCAAGTGGTGTCTGGCCACCACCTTGGAAAAAAATGGCACTGCAGTACATCTAGGCAAGCCAGTTTTGCATGTCCCAAGTGACAGCAGCAGCACCTTTAAATGGGAAGCTATCACCCAGCCCTACTCCCACGGGAAGGCAGGTCTCTTTATTTACAAAAGTCCCAGAGCCCATGGGATTTGTTTCCTTGCAGCTCATTACAGCTGTTATTTCTCAGCACAGGCCCGCCAGCTTTCATGCCTTTGCTGGTAGCTCTTTAAGGCTCCCGGCATCCCTTCTGAGCTCTGCTCCTTGGCCGTGGATTCCCCAGTGCCGGGCAGATTTACCCACAAGGACACTGTCACTCTTGAAAGCTAGCCTGTGCTTTGTTGTGGGGCTTCCCCAGTGCAGAACTGCCTCGCTTCGCCATGGTTAATTTACAGTGTCACTGGTGTATTTCTGAACAATTTAATAAGTGTGATTGAATCCATTATATACCAAACAAGTTGCCTCACAAAATTCTCCTCATGGTACCATCTACTGAGAAAAACAAGTAATTACTCTAATGATATATGGTAGTTAATAATGCAGGCTCCCTGCAGGAAGAAAAAAAAAACCTCTTGACTTGTTAGTATCTCTTCATTTACTACAGTGGCCATCCGGTAAGAGACAATAGCAAAAGTTTTGTTTTCTTTTAAAATTTCTGTTAAAATTTTTAAGAGAACTTCTTGGATGAATGATCTGGGGATGGCAATGCACAATGTATGCACCACTGTTGCCCCAATTCATGTGTTTTGAAATTTTGTTGTAGTTTTCTTCTTCTCCTTCTTCTTCTCCTTCTTCTTCTTCTTCTTCTTCTTCTTCTTCTTCTTCTTCTTCTTCTTCTTCTTCTTCTTCTTCTTCTTCTCCTCCTCCTCCTTCTCCTCCTCCTTCTTCTTCCTCTTTTTCTTCTGCTTTCTCTTCTGCTTCTTCTTTTTCTTCTTCTCCATCTTCTTTTTTTCCTCCTCTTTTTTCTTTTTATCCTTAAAATAAAATATATTTTAAAACATAGTATTTTTTGTATGCTGAATCTTCTTAAGCTCTCTCTAGTTTCTCTTGTGAAGAGACTCTATATTAGATTACACAGTCTGCATATATTCAAAAAAAGGAAGACCCAATCTTTACATATATCAATTTATTCCAGTAAGACCGCTATGCCTCAATCAGTTGAAGTTTTGACTATATCTCTTGTGGAGATAAAATAAAAGCTTTATGGTTATCTAAAAATGCTGTCAATGTAGGGTAAAATGCATTTCCATGAATGTTTTCTGAGGCTTAATATATTAATATTAATGCAGTATTATTACTCCAAAGTAGAGAAATTACATGTAGTACATAAAAACTAATGTACCCATTGTATCAAATCAAGGCCAGGAAGAATTATGCTTCATGCAGCAAAGTTATCAGTGAGATGACAACTTGCCTATATTCCCATAAATGGATAAACAGATTGTTCAAAGATTGCACACTGCTTAAGATACATAATCACTTGGACTCTTTCTGGAAACTACATTTACATGTTCAAAGCCACTTTGGTTAGCTAATTTTGGGAGAAGTGGCTAAATTTATCAGGTTTGCTAACTGAAGAAGTGTCAGTGTTTAAAATGAGTTGACCCACATTGAACCGATTTAGATCTTCAACATACTTTCTATTTAACCACAACCATAAAACAACAAAAAGGAGCCCAGCTAAGGCATCAGGAGACACAGACTCTGATCCAGATGCTAATAATAAGTTTTTCTATGTTGCACTTAGACCAAACACTGACTGGTCTGTCAAACCAGTACAGTGAGACTCTGCATTACACGCACACATGCCTTGCAAACTCCAGGGTGCATTAATCAAAACCTGAATGGATAAGAAAGAGAAAAAATAAAAGTGGGTGATTATTCAGCTTTCCCAAGCAAGAGTTAGAAGTTTTAGCTTTGTAGGGAGCAGCATGACAGCCCCATTGCTGCCTCCTTGCCTCTCTCTCCTATGGGCACATAATGCGCCTGCCTACATTACCCATAATCCTCTCCTGCTTATGTCACATATCTGGATGTGATGATGACCTATCAGAAACCACCCCATAGCCTCTTCCTGTCCCACTAGCCTGCCCATAAAAGCTGCAACCACTTCCTGAATAAACAAGACTTGATTGGACTCCTCAACTTGTCTCCATCTCTCTTTGTCTCCCACCCTGTTTTTTTCATCCCCATTCCCCCTCCAGGTATACCCCACAGATTGATCCATGGGCCAGATCAAGCTTTGTCCCTTGTGTTGACAATTACAGAAGGTTTTAACAATCTTTTTGAAAAGATTAGGATAGTAACTGGTAAAATTTAAAATGGAGTCGCTCTCTTTCTAATTATTGTGAAAAAAAAAGACAAAAGAAACTAAACAGACTACTGCAAGTATAAATCGGAATGACGAAGGCAGATCAAGCATGAGAAAAATCAAAGAAAATGGTTTAAAATCACCCTTTCAAGACAAGAACTTGCAGAAATAGTTGAAAACAGCAATGCAATAATCAACTCATTTCACAACTTTTTGCAGTATAGGAATTTATCCCAGAGTCTTCACACTGGTCTATAGCTCCTGTCCTTTTTATATTTGAGTTTTTATTTTGAGACAGAATCTCACTAAGTTGTAAATTAGTTGTAGATGTAAAACTAAGATACTCTGAAACTATTTGAAGCTTGAAAGTTGAATATTGCTCCAGGTTTCCTATCGCTTTTACCTTAATTAATATAAAATTATCCTTTAACAATTGTCTTCTTTAATTTGAAATTTAACATTTGCCTTGTTAAGAAGACAAATCATTATTAATTTACACACTCAACCAAAATGTCTTAAATTCTAGTTATAGCTCAGATACTATAACAGGAGCTGAAAGCAGGCCCGATCCCTGCTTCATGAAGATTATAAATTATGTAGTCACTCCTACAATTAATGCTAAAACTCTGTATTCTTTCCCTTGCATTTTTCAGGGGGAAGGGGATTTGCATTCTAGAGTCTGGCATGTTACATTTCAACCTGATATCTTATTTTGAAAATAAGAGCCATAACTGTAGTACTTTGGGAAGCTAAAGCAGGAGGATCTCAAGTTTGAGCTCAACCTAGGGAACTAAGCAGTTCAGCTAAACTCTGTCTTCAAACAAACAAAAAAACCTTTTAAATACCTGGGGATGTTCCTAAGTTCAAAGGCCCTTGTCACAAAAAGATGGGGATGGAGCCAACTTAAGTGTCCATGAAGATAATATTGTATGTAGACATGATGGGATGGAAATCCTGTCATATCGCAACAGCAGGAATAACTTTGAAAACACTGCTAAGGAAAAGTCAATCACAGAGGGACAAATACTGTAGGATTCTACTTCTCAACATGTCCGAAGGAGGTGAATTCATAGAAGTGCTATGTAGGATGGTAGTTACCATGGACTGGCAGGTAAGAAGCCAGAGAGCGATTTGTCCAAGGACATAAGGTTTCAGCTAGACAGAAAGAAATAGCTCAGTATATGCATGGTATAGTTGAAAATTACTAAGAGGATGGATTTTAAATGTTATCACTAAACACAGAGAGGATGATATGCACATGAGTTAATATGTGTGCTGATAAGCTAGATGTTACCATTCCACAATGTATACATACATTTGTGGAAATGTTATGTAATGCATAACAGCGATATATAATTACTATTTGTCGATTTAAAAAGTAGGTAGGACAACAAGGGGAAATTTTATGGTTACCCACAAGGACCCTTGCATGACTAGAAAGAAGGCACAGGGAGAGCACACAAGAGGTTGCCATAGACTCCCTCGACAGTCACCTCTTTCTTGTTTGTCTGGGTACAGTGATCACTACTCAGAGACTATGCCCATTCAGCCAGTCAGGTTCTCCTACGCTTCAGCTGTAGTCAGGGCCTTGGATTCATTTCCTGTCTGTACGTCACCTCCATGACCACTGTTCTACATTCATGAACTTGCTTCTTGGGCAGGATCCATATCAGGCCTGCATGCGAAGGGTCATTTTGTCCTCTGCTAAACAGGGCAAGACTGTTCTACCTTCAAGGCAAAGAAGAGAGTTGTTTGCAGCAACCTCAGCCCTCCCAAACCTGCTCCACTGACTGACATTAAAGAAAGAGAACTGGCAGCCCTATGGCGAGAATTATGAGAGATGGATGACAAATCAGTTTAGAAAAATGAGGGAACCTCAAGGCCATAAAAGAGAACTTACTGCATGGAACCTATAGGAACAAACTGAAGCAATCAGTGAGAAACATACCTGTGATTTGACAGGAACAAGGTGATTAATAAAGTACGGTGCTAAGGACGATTCTAAAATGCCTCGTTTGGAGGAATCAGTGAACCGTAATGCCACTAGTAGACAGGAAGGAAGTTTACGGGGGGAAAAGACTATTTGTGGGAGAAGACAATGGCTTCATTTTTAATTCTTAATTTTATTTTCAAAAGCAAAACAGAAAAAAGGATAGATATAACAGAGAGTTTCAAAAAAGTACTAGGAAATTAACACTAGTTAGGATACTGCATAGTATTATCTTAGAAATAGATGTTCAGGTTCCAAGATTTAGGCATTTATAGTGGCTTCGTTTTTAGATAACCAAATTTTAATGAACCTATAGAGCATCTAAGGTAAGAAATCTAGTAAATAGCTGGCAGAAATTTTTTAGAAAGATAGTTAATCTGGTAATGAGGTGTTTGGACTGAGTAATGGCAACAGGTAAGATATGATCACTGGAATAATAAGAAATGACCAGACATTGTGGTCTATTAGCCCATGGGGCAGAGACAAATGACTCTCTGTCATGGCCTTACAACTCTATACCTTGACACGTGTCTCAAGATCTCCATGGAATTAGATCAGGGCACTGTCCCGTTGGCACGAGATAACATTAAAGATAAACCATCCTTATAAATTACAGAAACCAAAATCACAATGCAGAAAATGTACAAAGTAAATTCAATGGAATTACATTATTAATGGCTCCAACTAGCATCTTCTACTCAAATCCCACAAGAATCGTGTTGTATGTAAGCAACACTTTTCTCACAGCCAGAGCCTTTTAGGAGCCCTCTATCATATCCTTGAGGCACCAGGCTAGCAACATTATGGATCATCAAGACAGGTTGGCTGGAAGGTAGATCACTTTTGTCAAGGAAGAAAATTTAAGGAGTCAGAGGATCATAACTCTTATCCTCTACAGTAAAAATGGCACTGTTGATGATTTAGGAACTGGGGATGGTGCTGTTCAGCCAGGATAATTATAAAGAATACTCCATGGTGGAATATTATTCCAGAGGTCTGTAAATTTTCTGTCACTTTTCCTATTTCAGCTCATCTTCCACATCAAAGAACTCACCCTGTCCGTAAAAGGGAAGATATGCCACATAACAGTTATATCCGAAAAGATCTTTCATGTGAAATCACGTAATAAAGTGCTATTTAAACAAACGATATCAGTAGTTACTGCAGCCTATCACAGGACTAGTACATCAGGACTGGGGGATTTAAAGTCGAAATCTTGTATTTTTTGCCAACCTCTTTAGAAGTAGCACACTGAATTGTAAAATAGAAAAAACAGTCACACAGAATTGTGAGCATTGCTCTAGAATTGCTAGATTTAATTCTTGTTTCAAATAAAGTAATGAAGTGCCAACTTTGTTAGCACTTTTCTACACATCGTCAACTCCTGGCAAATTTCATTTTCAACCCTAAAATATAAACTGAATCCCTTCTTTTGAATGGTCTCATTTGTATCACCTTTCAAATTACCTTTTTTATCGCTTGATCTGAGTTTCCAGCTACTTGAAAGTTAGTTTATCATCTGAAGACACAATTCTGGTTGCTAGGATGTATAAAAATGGTGACCCAATTGTAAATATGACTTAATAATAGATATTGTCTATTTTACTTTAATTTAAATTTAGTTTAGTTTTAATGGTGTTTGATTTGCCTTTTCAACTTTCTCCTTCTAACGC